CCCCAAAACCCCAAAACCCCAAAACCCCAAAACCCCAAATAAAATACAGACAATTGAACTTCAAATTGGATATAATCTAGTTATAACAAGGGAGCCAAGAATGATCGTCCTCTTTGATCTTATCCAGGACATATCTTTCGGTGGTGTTCTTGATCTGCCCTTCTCTTTCTTGTTTCGAGCCCAGATAGGCTATGAAAAAGATGTAATCCCACATATAGTGCTGGTTATGGATATGAAACCTAAAACCGTCAACTCCAAGATTTTTCTCCAGTTGCTCTCTTGTCCTATCGCACATGAAGCAGATCTTTTTACAGTCATCTTCAATTTCTTTGTTTTGTTGTCTATAATCCACAAAAGTGTCGATGATGAGACCTGAGATGATTTCGATCATGAGAATACCGACTACGAAAAAGGCAAGGTTATCGAAGATGACCCTACCATAAGTCACATCAATGCCATCGGTCTCCCTCACATAAGCTGATTCAAGGTAGCCTCCAACTCCACCATCATTTTTAAAGGTATTATCGAAGCTGATCAAGAAGCAGGTCCAGAGACTATAGCAGTCGTTCTCTGTGTAATCATCGTAGTAATACGAGTATGCTACTATAGTGAACGCATAGATAACCATGAACATCAGAAGGATTGTCAACCCCAAACTTTCGTAAGGCTTTACAATAGCTTTCAATACATCCATCAAGGCTTTCCTACGGTACACGAAGACAGTCAGCAAGAATGTGTAGAAGAATGGGTGGAATACCACTCCTGTTAGTGTCAATAGGAACAATAAGATATGGTACATAATTCTCCAGTCGGATATCGCTTCGTAGATAAACTTGGTAAAAGCTCTGGCCTTGCTGAGTTGAGGGAAGTTCTGGCTAAACCTATCTATCTTATTTAGTTCAATCATTCTCTTTTCCTCATCAGCTGCGTACACGCTGTATCTTCTGTAGTAATTTGCGACTATTGAAAAACTCGTAAGGAAGGAAGTTATGAAGACAAGTATGAGGCTAGCAATACCCAGTCCAAGCATTACACCTTTTGTTGAATTTACAGAGGTATTTGAGAACACAGGATCTCCTGTTCTCTCTCCTACATTAATGCTGTAGGAGAAAAGGATCATACCATTAATCAGAATTCCAAGAATTGATAATAGACTTTTGAACATATCTGAGTATTCTTGGCATAGACCAACAAATCTGCTCAGGCCTTTCTTAAGCCAGTAATTTACCTTCAAATCAGAGATTATGTACTGACTTTCTCTCATAAGGGAATCACATTTTGTTTTAGCATTAGTTCGATCAACCATTAAGCTGAACTTTTCTTTGGGAACCTCAGAATCAAATTTACAGTAAGGTAGTAAAGGGAAGAACTGAGTGAAGGGTTTACCTTCAACAAAGATTTCAATCTGAGATACATTCTGAGAAAAGAATCTAAGAATACGAGTAATCTCAGCATCTTGCTTTACAATATGAGTAACTTCTTCCATTTGAATCAACTTATTCTTTTTGTGACAGTTGCTAATGAAAATATTGACCAGAGATTTTGTAAAGTCCCACAAGTCCTCGATTAACCACTGATTATTCTTGTAAGATTTTGTTTCTCTCAATGTGATGAACCTCACCAATCTATTGTAGTATTTTTCGTCCATATCAACAGCCAAATTAGCTGACATACGCATAAGAAGGAAATAGAGATTGAATCCAACTTCAACGATCAAGGGAGAGTTATTGTCAGTCTCAACATCCAAATTATATCTAAAAAAAAGCTTGATAGAGTATTCATTTCTGTGGAATCTCTTGACAAAATAAGCTTGATAAGCAAAGTTCTTTCTAAATACATCAGGGTCCAACACTCTTCTGAGTATATAGTAGACATAATTAGTTCTGTTTCTTCCGACTAAGAGCTCAAGGAGGATCAATAATGATTTATACTTAACCATACTGATCATGAAGTTGTTTTGGGGCTGAGTTACTTCATCTCCATAGTATACTTCCTCTCTTCTCTTTCGAGAGGATTTCTTCGAAAGACTTGGCAAAGATGATTTTCCGTAAGAATCCCCATTAAGCAAACTCAATTGCTTAGTAGGTTTAAGCTTTGGCCTTAGGTCTAAAATTCAATGTCAGAGGCATATAGATAGAAGCTATTAGCAAAGCATGAAGCCTTGAAATTTCAATTCGCAAGCATAATTATTAAATTTTCATCGAAATTTGTGATGAAAGACAGTGTATTTGCTTTAGGATTGATAAAATTACTTACTGGTGTTTTCTTGGACTTCCTCTTCAACATTATAGTCCATTTTAAGTATTTCATTAGCCACAGAAATGAAGCCTCTTTCAACAATAATCTCTTGGTTAATCTTATTTGGCCCTCTATTGAATTCCATCAAGCAGTCAAGCGTTTTCTGGAAAGTGTCGTAAGCAACAGGGTACTGGAGGTGGCTCAAAAATTTTCCTGAATAGTCAGTGATCATTTGAATCATGTTGTAATTCTTCGTGTTGTTCGATTGATCACGCATGTAGTTCTGCATCTCTTTATTATCATGAGCACAGAAGTTAGCCATAAGAGATACCACTTGCTTTTCAAGATTTTTGTCTACGAGGTAACAGCTGCTGGCTAGCTCGTCTGTGTACTTTTGTCTGCTATAATAAGCTCGCAGAGTGCCTCTCTCTAGCTTGTCTCGATGCACCTGGATGTATTCATAACATTGGTTGAAGAAGTGCTCTGATGTGGAATCTGTTTTGAAAAATCCCAAAAACTTATTCTGAATGCTTTCAGATCTTAGCCCAAGCAACTTGTTGCAGAAGTAAGCAGTAATATTAAATATCTCATTTGAGTAGCAGAAAATGTCATCTTTGGAGGATGATAGAATTTTGAATATCATGCTAGATGTCCTAAGTGTGTCTACTGAGTCAAGAACATTTGATTCTATCATTTTATTTCATCTCAGAAGCAGCTGATTTCTTCATCTCTTTGCTACACAAGCTCAGTAGCATTGAATTGATTTTGAATATGAAGACAATGATGTACAAATTCCAGTTAGCTTTCTCACAAGAGAAGACATAATCAATACTTGTACTGATAAAAGTTTTGTAGGATTGTTGCAGCAGTACATGGGAATTCTTATTGGTCAAAGTCTTGAACATTAGATTTGCTAAATCAATATGCTCTTTATCAACAAGAATTCTGGAGCTTCTCTTAGTTGAAATATCTTTGATATACCTATTCCAGATTGTTGTAAAAACATGAGATAGCTGACTACGATTAGTGGCATTATTCTTCTCCTTCATTGTATGTCCTCTCTTTATAGTGATTCTTGAGCTTTTGTTAAAGTTGCTTCTCCTATAAAAATTAATAATTAAAGGTTACAAGGAAGGATCACTAGAAGGGAGCTCTGTTTCCTCCATATCATTGATTTCGTCAATAATATCATGATACTTGTCTTCACCTGTATTCTCCATTCTTTCGTAAATCTGGTCAATAAGCTGCTCAATCTCTTGTTTCTTCTTTTTAAGAGCTTCGAAGCCGCCAAGAGCACTCGCTCTTGGAGAATACTCACCTCCTTTGAAAGAAGAGACTGCGTGGTGCCTATATCTTATTAGACCAAACTCTTGTGAAGTGCTTACCTAGAAGTAAGGTCTTTCTCTGCAATGAATTTATAGTGTTTTTCCATCCTTTTGAAGAAGCTACGACAGTAAATCAGCAAGAATTTCATTGAGCTGTTTTTGATATTGTCTGGTTGATCAAAATCGCTAACACTGTTGAAGTCATTCAACTTCTGTAAGTATTGACTAGTCAAAGTTGTCATTCACTCTTCCAGCTCCGATTTAGTAATATTAGAGTATCTTTCATGGAAATAAAGCTATTGATTAATCGCAGAAGCATACCTGAGTGTAAATATTGAGAAGGTCAATGTACTGGTAATCCCTGAGTTCATCATAGTCCTGGCTATCGTACTTTTTATCTTTTTCGGTCTCTTCAATTTCGTTTAGTCTATCAATGCTGCTGCATATCTCATTAAATGCTTTTTCAAGTGGAAAGTGTTGAGCGAGGAAATCTCTAGTGAACACTTTCTCCTGATCTTGGATTATACTATAAATAATTTCTTGCAAATTCTGGGCCTTTTCAAAATCCCTCCTTGTTTCTTTATCATGCGAATGAATATCCTCTGGAGTTGACATGATCAGCTTTGTCAGAGATTGCTTCAGGAAGGAGATCGCCTCAAATTTAATCAACTTGTTGTAGATCTCCAAAATTAGCACAAAGTTTTCACTATTCCTGATTCTTTGGTTGAGAGAGTTGACAAATTGACGAGTCTTAGTCAATGTCCATTTATTTTGGTGGTATTTGATAGCATTCTCAGAATCATCAATGATCTTTAACACGAATTCCAATTCACCATCTTGCTCGATATTACCAAGATCTTCAAAGACAAAGTCCTCCTTATATTTCCACATGAGTTCCTGAGTTTCTGGGTTTTGAGAGGTCATAAATTCTAAAATTCTGAAAATCTTCCTAAAAATTTGTTTGACTCTGTACACAATTTCCTTCTGGTTTTCATTGAGACTGCCCACTTTAATTGATCTAACCTTCATCAGCAGCTCTTTATTCTGGAAGAGGAAATTTATAAGGTAGTCGTACACTTTTGCATTGCGGTACAAGTTCTGGGCATAAAAACTTATTTTCCTATCACCTTTGGTGTGATGGAGGATATACTGATCTCCTTCCCCACTGTCGTTCCTTAGGATCTTGCAGTTGTAGACCAAGGCCCATTTCAACTCACTCAGAATCTGCTTGAGATCCTTGAGTTCTTCTGTAACTTCAATATCTTCGATAATTTCTTTATTAAAGTTTGAGATGAGAGCTTTGATCTTTAGGAGCCACACATTTGATTTTTCGCTGTTAAAAATGAACTTTTCTAGTTGCTGCTGTAACCAGTTGTAGAACAAATAGTCACTTTCGTCAAAGAACAGTATAGTCCTGTCCAAATTCCTGATGAACTCAGCTCGCTCAGAATGATACCTAGCAATTAGAAGAATGATCAGCTGTCTAAGGTCCGGATCGTAGGAGTGGAGATTAAAGGTGTCAATCATGAGAGCTACGAATTCATCATGCATCTCCTGGACACTGACCTTGGCAAGGCTAGGTTTTCCTTTATTATTCTCTTCCAGCATCTGAATTGCACTTTTTGAGATAATCTGAACCTTATATTGGTCAAGTTCATTGTTCTCATACATTGCATCTAGATTTGGGAGGACGTACTTCAGATGCTGATGGGGGTCTTTACAATCAGGAATTAAGTGTTGAAATTCATCTCATAATTTCTGGTTAAAATTGTTCAAATCTTCTTCACTAAAGCTCTGATAATCAGTTTCCGAGTGAGGTTGAAAAATATTCATGTAGAAGTACTCAATATTGTTGGAAATTAAGTACTGCTGCCTCAGGTCGTTAAATAAGTGGAACATATTCACTATCTCGATCAAGATCTTGATATGGAACTTCTTCGCATTGATACTGATCTCTTCAGGACTGTTTGAAGGATTCTCGTCATTAGTATCTGTCTCGTGAGACGAAAAATTCTTGTTAAAGAGTTGGTACTTGATATCATAAGATGCCTTCTGAATTGGATTCATCTTTGATGCATCTGTCAAAATTGTATCTTTACTAATGATCTTATCTAATGAGTGCTTTGAGGTAATATAACTCTTCGTAGTAAAAATATCACAAATATGGCAGAGATAACTGAACACAAAATCAATATCCTTGCTCTGGAAGGTTTTATCTCTGTAGATAAATAAGCCAAACCTGATCAGATAATTCAAGAGCCTGACAAACTCCATATCAAAATTCTTTAGGTAGCTAACTCCTGTTGCTTTCTTCGCAAAAGCTGTCATGTATTCTTTAATAAAGTCGACGAGGTGGTCAAGGTCTACATCAGTAATGTGATTATTTCTTGTTGAAGAGATCTTCTGGATGTATTCATCTGCAGACTCATACGCCTTGAAAGCTCTCTCCATTTTTAACAACTTGTGAGGAGGGTCATCAATGTAAATACTATAAAGCAATCTAATCAAAGATCCTCTAAACTTCTGGTCAAGCTCATCATCTTGCAAACAATCAATCAGCCAATATCAAGGGTATTTCTCTCTAAAATACTCTTTATTTTTATCGTTTCTGCCAAAGCAGAGGTCAGCTTCTAAGCTAATCTGCTCAAGGAAGAAGCCTCTCTCATTCTTATATGAGTCAAAGAACTGATCTTCATCATCCTCTACCTCTTCTAAAAATTCCTTAATAGGAACATGGCATTTTTCGCCATCAGTGTTGGGAGCAATATTTTTATTAAAAACTATGAGGTCCTACGCCATTTTGCTCTAAGTTTGGGTAGTAAACAACTGTGATATCATTACTTCCCCCTTCATACTGCTTTGAAGCAAACTCATCTATCTCAATGTTTAACTCAAACTTGGTTAAGAAATCATCTGAGTCATATAAATGTTCGAAAATAGCTTCCTGCACTAAAGGAAGAGGATTTCTGCTGATGATACACATTTTTCTCAAGATTAGTAAGTATCTAGGGTCTCTCCTCTGCTTAGCTAGGCCTGTGAAGTGGAGAATGATCTTCTCAAATCTCTGAATTTCATAAATTCTTCGATAGAACAGCTCAGAATGGATTTCCTTCTTGTTAATCTCGAAGTCCTTGTCCTTAAAGATATCTATTAGTAAAGAAGAGCACCCGTCTACAAATATGAAGTTCTGCAGAACATCCATGTGGTGAATTCATTGTAGGGTATTGTTCTGATGGTTCATTGTAGCTACATGAATAGTCTTAATTGTAACCTCAAGAAGGTTGTTAAAGCCCTCATACTCGTCAAGCTCAAACTCGCTTAATATCTCATCTTGGTTATCCTGGGTGACTATTTGGTCGATAACTTCAAGAAAATCAAACATTTTCTGAAGGATTCCCACTTTGGAAACCATTTCTTGCCTGTGAGGGATGATCTCTCCAATTTTATACTCTGCCCTTGTTTTTCCCTTCAGCTTGTTCCACATGAAATCGAGGAGCTGGATGAATACCGTTGCATAACCTTCCTTTTTCGAATAAATGAAGTCTCTGACATCTTGAGTTTTCAGTAATTTTGAGAAGAACAGGTCTACATACTCCCGAGAATCTAGACAAAGAGACAGCTCCATGTACTCATCTTCCTTAGGGATAATGACCTTGAAAGCATCAAATGTGTTCACTTTGAATTGCTTATCTAGCCTAACTTTCTTCTTGTCTGAATAAGAATGATCTTCGAGGTAGTCATCTTTCTTATCATCTGGCTCCATTGACATAAAGATATTTGGTTCGTCCTCCCCTTCGCCAGGAAGCATTATCTTGAAAATGTCTCTTTCAGTGATTGACGCAGTATCTGGCTTATCAGAGTTTATCGACAAGAAAAAGAAGGAAGAGGCTTCATCTCCGCTTTCAACTAGTTCAATAGGACATACATCCTGATGGGAGGTTCTTATTGCTTTGAGATACTTTCCGTTGTTGAAGTTCCTAATTTTACATTGTTTAGATCCTTCACTCGTCTCAATTTGCCACCATCCATTAAAGTCAATGCTCTTGGCATCTTGCCATCTGTGGAATTGAACATTAAGCTCTTTGAAATTTCCTGTATTTTCATCTAATTCTTGAGGACAGTTCAGGTAAAAGTTGTCATTAGCGAATGAAATAAGAACGACATCAGTTCTACCAATATTCCTAGCAGCTTCATGCTCTTTATGCTCCCTAATAACATTAACACTGAGAGGAGTTCGATAAGACTCTGTCATCAGGCATTTTGCTGGCTTATTCTCTTTGCTGATACTATACAAATAATGCTTCTTCCCCTTCTCTACACAAGTGAGATAGAGATAATGGAAAGCTTTGATGTAACCATCTTCTTCTTGCTGATACATAGGAACAGTCTCGAAGCTAAAATGAGTATTCTCAGCTGGATATTCAGAGAAGCCAAGGTAAAAGCTCTCACTATCAGCATACATGTTATCAAAAGCATCCCTGATGCCTTCAAGCTTCTCATTATAATAGCACAAGAACCTCTTTGAGCTATCATGATAAAGCTGGATCCTTGAACCATAACTAATAGATTGGTTCATACTAAGGTTATAATTAGCAGTATTTGAGTCAATTTCAGAGATGAAGTTTTCGTAATCAATTTCAATGTTCTCTCCAAGCTCATCCTCCTCGACAATGTTTAAGATTTTACTCTGCATTGTGTATTGTGAGTAAGGAAGAATTTTGAAAGTGCAGTTAATATCGTAATCATCCTTCTGCATTTCAAATGGTTTTACTCTGTCTGAGGTTCTTAGTCTAATACTCAGTCTATTCTGCTTCTCTTCCTCTCCATCCCCATACTCATCTTCGTTCAGGCTGATGATAATAGAGGAACCGTATTTCAAATCATTGTAAGTATCTGTAGCTACCTCTATGTGCTCTAATGGCACTTCTGGAGCATTATCGTTGCTAAGAAATTAAATTTGTTGGCTTACTCTTTTTCAAAAACTTGGTTAACTAATCCCTTGATCAGCTTCATTTTTGGCTTTTGAGTAGCAGAGGCATGGGCTTGGCCCATCTTACCTACAAGAGTTTTCTTCCTGTCAAGCGGAAATCTGATTCCTGGAGTTTCTGATGTGTCTGAACCCTCAGAATTCCTGTTAGGCCCAAAGGTTCTATAGAAGATTGTCACAACAGATAAGAAAATTTTGAATTTAAGAATAAATTCTAGCATGAGTCTTACGATGGTTGGAAGAAGCCAGACTTGTTGTGTTCACTTCCATCGTCCTGGGAGTCATTCTGATTACTAAAATGCCATTTAGGGCTAAAAATTACACTATCCTTTTGTTTGGTATATAATTCGGCTTGTTGCTGTTAGTCTGGAGCTTCTTAATTTTAGATTTTGAAATCCCTCTTTTCTTCATTTTGTGCTTTAACCCCTCAACTTTCATTGATATCTGTCTTGATTTGGAGGTATATTCATCTTCAGTCTCTTTGATAGGCTCAAGGCTGCCCTTTTTAGTGAGACTCACGCTTGCATCGTCGTCTTCTTCATCAATCATTTCGTCGATATCGACAGCTCTCTTCTTGTGAGCTTTTCTACTTTTAGTTACTGATTTCTTCACAGACTTCTTCGCATTGGTCACCATGTTATTTGCAAACATTTCTTTCTTGAAACTAGCTATATTGCGAGGTTAGAGAGAGTCTATGATGTCTATAAAGGCCACTAGGTCTGACTTCCTTATAAAGAAAAGGAGTTACAGCAAGAGTCTTTAAAATCTAGGATTTAATTATCTTCATTTTCTAATTTATGCTATCTTGCAATACTAATCCAGGGTAACCAAAATATTTCGTTTATAGCAGGAAGCTGTTTAAATTTGTAAATTCAGCCGAGATTTGGTCTGAACCCAAGATATTTTAGTGGTTTAAGTATAAATTTTTGAAAATTTTATTTTAATTTAAAAATTTGAAAAATTTCATCGAAATCAAAAATTTAAAGATTTCTAAATGGAAACTATCAGAAAGATCTGATTTTTTTCTGAAAATGAATTGACAGAATATGTTATGCAGCAATGCTTACATGGACCTTTTTGTGGGAAAACCTTTGAAGCACTGCTTTTCTTGCTTCTCATAGCCATAGAATTAACTTGACTTGGCCTCTGAATACTACTATCTGTAAAATCTTCTCGATTGTTCTGCATGTGTCCTTCATGCATGGCATCTTCGACTAAATCATTATTAGGTTAGATTTAGAGGCAAGAAGAAGTAAATTGTATTTACATTCGGAATTAAGCTTATCAATAGTGTTCTCACTTTTATAAATTTTATCAGGTGAATCATCACTAGCATTAGGGTCAAGCTGATTGCCTGGAACAGGCTCCTTAGTCTCCTCCTTTGGGTTATCAGGTCTGCTGAATCTTTCTTCAGTGTTTCTTGCGAATTCATTAATATTCGAATCACTATTCTCAAAACTTTTTGAGTTTTCTTGTGACATTTCTCTAAACAAAAAGTTGTAAATGGGCTAAAATGCCATATTAACAAACCCTAAAGCAGATGATGTCTCTTAAAATGATCTTGGCTAATGGTTCACAAAGGATGCTTATAAATGGTTGCTTAATAGTCACATTATCTCTAAGCTGTTTTCAGAAAATATTGAATTTACTAGCTCTTACGATCTTCAGAATATTTAAATATTATACCAAACTTTAAATTTTATTTCTTAAAATGGGGTTTTGGGGTTTTGGGGTTTTGGGG